TTACAAAACTCTCTCTCTCTCTCTCTCTCTCTCTCTCTCTCTCTCTCTCTCTCTCTCTCTCTCTCTCTGTGTCTCCTCTTTCCATAGACCCTGCTTGCTCACTGTGCATGTAGGGAGAGAAGGCCCTGAGAGGCAATTCTACAACACGAGATAGTTTTTTGGAAAAGAAAGCAAAGAACCTGTCAGGTATAATAGTCCAGGTACAAAACTCCACTCTCCGGAACCATGAACACATACGAAGAAAAAAAAAAAAAAAAACAGGCCCAACTACCAGAACAGAGGCTTATGCTACAGTCAGCCAGCTTCTCCAACTATTAGGGGGGGGGTCAATTACCCATTTCAAGTTTGGGGTGCGACAATCGTGTACCTCTTGACAAAAGCAAAAATGCTCGATCCCAGAGTTTATATAACCGTGTGCCAACCGTCTCCAACCTTTGGGGGCGTACACGCACTAGGACGCTTTTTACTTATTTATGAACGTAACTGCGGTCAGATGCATCCAGGTTGGGCCGTAAACATGGTCAGATACATTTACGATGATCAGGCTAGCGTAAGTACACCCTTATTCAACCTTATCCAAAGTTATCCGCATCTTATCCAACTCAAAAATCAGGACAGGGTCACAAAGCAGATGGCCAGCCAGAGATTGACAGAGGAAGGGGAAAAAAAAAAAAAAAAAAAAAAAAAAACAGCGATCTTCAAAAAAAGGGAACACTCCGAAGAGTCCAAACACATTACCAAAGCTGTACTCTCCTTCTCCCTTTTTCTCAATCATCTTGCCAAAGTGCAACCACCTACCTTCTCCATCATTAGTTCCGCTTTTTTCCCCGCGAATCAAGAATACAGCACTCCCCATAGGCTATGGGTTAATCACAGTCTATCAGCAGTAGGACCACAAGACCAGCGGTTCTGGTCCCCACGGACTCACGAGAGGAAAGGTTCTAAATACACGCATGTTCATCTCCTGTTGGTCGCAATCCGTCCGCAAAACGATTCGCCTATTCCTTCGCAGTCGACCGCGCGAACCATCCCAACAAAGCTTCAAAAAAAAAACAAAAAAAAACAACAACTAACTGGTGCCTACAAACAATTACGATTTCCGGAATCGATCACCTTGTGATGCACGAGCTCTTATCTCTGGCCAAGCTGCTACTCTTGGGGCACTGTTGTGGGCAGACCCTACCCTCTCCCGATATTCAAATCCGGCGTCAAGGGTGTGTCCGCCCTTCGCTCCAGTCAGGATCTTGCAATCGCTCTTTTTTTTTCGTCAAGGGCACATCTTCCCTCTCCCTGATCACCTCCTCAAAACTCCTCCTGATCCAAAAAGTGGGTTCTAATCACAACGAACCAATTGATATGATTGGGTTTGTTCAGCCAAGCTCAGGATGTCCAGCCAAACAAAAGGACACCTAACTTGACCTAAGTCTGTTCTGCAATCAATTAAATGTTAAGTCATAATTCATTTACAAATGCCATGATTCTCAATGTTACTTCATACTCTTATCTTCCTAATCAGATCCCTATTCTCTCTCTCTCTCTCTCTCTCTCTCTCTCTCTCTCTCTCTCTCTCTCTCTCTCTCTCTCT